TGAGCATTGGCAACGGCAGGAGAAAATACATCAATTGTCAATAGTAAATTACAGTTTAGTATCATCGTTTTGTCGTGGTAAGAAAAAAAACGGCGGAGTTGTTATATTGAAAAATAAATCATGTGGTCTCTTAACAAAAACTTTAACAACCCCCACCCGACCTTGTGAAGGTATCTTAGAATTTTGTGGCATTGAGATAATAGGATTAAACTTAGTGGTTATTGCGATTTATAGGCCACCGAGTGGAGACGTTAACGTATTTTTAAATCTGCTTGAACAACTCTTAAGTGAAGTCTCGACCCTAAATAAGTCTTTAATTATAGGAGGCGATTTTAATATTAATCTCTTAGACACAAACAATATATATTCAAGCTCGTTTTTAGACATTACTGCTGCCTTTGCTCTGTTACCAACTCTAACAGAACCTACTCGTGTTTTTAAGACATCTGCAACATGTATTGACAATTTTTTTATTACTAAAAATCTATATTCGTCCACTGTCCTTAATATTAACCTAGACCTATCATATCATAATGCTCAGCTACTTAAAGTTTCTAGTACTCGAAATGTTGCCAAATTAGATAATACATTTAGACGAAGGAAGTTTTCCAACGTTAATTATAATCGTTTTTGTAATTCATTGCTATCTGAAGAGTGGAATGAAGTTTATGCGCAATCTACTTCGGATGATGCATTTAATATATTTTTTAAGACATTTAAGTATACCTTCAACGAATGCGTTCCTTTAACAAAATGTTTGCCGAATAAAAAGAGTACGTGTCCTTGGATAAATATAGTGATCTACTGAAACTTAAAAAGAAGGTTATAATGTTTAGTGATTTATCAAAACTACACATAGGATTTAAAGAAGCTCACCGTTACGTTCATAAGTTGTATCAGACGCAACTTCTTGTTGCAAAAAAAGCGATATTATAATAACAAAATTTTGAATTCTAATAACAAAACGAAAACCACATGGGATATTGTTAATAGCCAATAGAAATAATACTAAAGGAACCCAAATACAAATTTATGACAGAGGCAGTCTAGTGAATAATCAGGAAGCTGCAAATTTGTTTAGTGTTCATTTTACTAAATTATACACAGACAGCAAATCAAATTTAATTCATTCTGTGCCGCAGTTGTCTGTAGCATTATTCCTTTGGATATAATCTCTATTATTTATGCGCTTAAATCGTCTTTTTCATATGGTTGTGATGAAGTGTCTTCAAATCTTTTAAAAAAATGCAAACATGCAATTGCGAGTCCACTGTGTTTTATATTAAATCTTATTTTTGTGACCGGAGTGTTCCCAACGCAACTTAAGTGTGCTCTGGTAAAACCGCTGTTCAAGAAGAATGATCCACACTACATTAATAATTATAGGCCTATAAGCTTATTATCGAGCTTCTCAAAGGTTTTTGAACATGCCATTAATTCACAATTAAGGGACTACCTTTTACGTTTTGATATTATTAATCGTTTTCAACATGGATTTGTAAAAAATAAATCGACCGACACCGCCTTGTGTGAATTTGTTTCGGAAATTGTTACAGCGGTAGACAAAGGAATTAGCACTGTGGGCTTATTTATAGACCTTTCATCAGCTTTTGACACGGTGAATCACAATTTACTACTAGAAAAACTGTACAAATATGGCGCCCGTGGGAATGTTCTAAGTTTATTTGAATCATATCTATCAAATAGAACTCAAATTGTAGAAATGCCATCGGGGGAAAGAAGAACTTGTGTATCTGTCACATCTGGAGTTCCACAGGGTTCTATCCTGGGTCCAACCTTGTTTGTCGTATTTGTGAACGATTTTCCATCATTTATTTCTGGTAAATGTAAAAGTGACGAAATATTTGTAACATGTTACGCGGATGATACTAACATCCTAATTAAATCTAGAAATAAAGAATCCTTGGCAAATAAAACTCAATTCATTTTTGATAGATGTTGTACGTGGTGTAAAGATAATCAGCTAATTATTAATCATAGCAAGACTAGTGTTATTCACTTTACGCATACTCGAAATCCTGCCGGTGTTATTTCAATTTTAGGCCAACCATGCGCTTCGTCTACCAAAATATTAGGACTAACTCTTGACTCTCACCTTCGTTGGTCCCCGCATGTTGATACTGTCTGCCTGAAACTTCAAAAATGTTGTTACACTCTTAGTGTTTTAAAAAATATATGTAGTCGTGAAGTATTATTGATGGTATACCACTCCTACTTTCACTCTCACGTGAGATATAATATTATCAATTGGGGCTATTGTCATAGTGTGGAAAGAATCCTGAGGCTTCAGAAGCGTGCAATACGCATAATATGCAACTTAGGCTACAAACAATCTTGTAGAGAATACTTTAAGGAGCTGAAAATCATGACTGTGGTGAATACTTACATATTGGAAATTTGCTCATACGTTTACGCACACAAATCAATTTTCAAAACCGCTGATCATACCTATAATACTAGAAATAAAAAATTGATACAAGCAACATCCCACAAGACATCACTTTTTGAGAAGAACTTTTGTTACAACGCAACTAAAATTTTTAACTCGCTATCATGTTTTATTAATACATCCTCGAAAAAAATAAACTATAAACAAAATTTAAAAGAATTATTGGTGTCAAATTGTTTTTATAATATGGAGGAATTCTATCAATTTGTAAAACCTTAGTTTAAAACGTATTTGGCTTATTGTAAATCTTTTGACGTTTATTTTAGTGCTTTCGCAAGAACCGCACTAAAATACTAATAAATATTATTATTATTATTATTATAGCTAATAATGTATCATATATGTAGAAAGTAAGTAGAAAAATATCACTGACTACAACCCGTATTCCCTTTATACCGTACCGTATTACAGCGCATTGGAAAATAAACAAGTTCAAAAGTTGGTGTGAAAAATCATTCGATTATACTTTATGCCATCGAACTTTTTTTTAAATTATGGCTGGTATCAGCAAGTAAAGTTTGAAGAAGTAGTACGTATATTTTGCAAGCGACAAGCCGATCGATAATTAATTTAAACTTAAGCTAAAGATATATATCACCATTTGTGTAATAAACGTGTAAAGATCGAGAATATAAGGTCTAGATTCTGTGCGAGATATATTGCTGCAACTTCCATCTTAATACCGTACTTCGGGGATATTTACAGTAAATTTGAAATTTAAAAGAGAAACACTTTCGGTAATTATTCAACAGTAAATGACGGTAGAGTAACTTTGAATAAATTACATTTCGGAGCTTAAAGTGAAGATCCGCAATAAATGCGTGGTGCTCAGAACTCATCTATCTGTTTACGTATAAAAAATAAAATGGATAGTTTGCTCCTATATTAAAATGTCGTTAACTTGCTGTCATCTTCGTTGTAATGATGTCAACCACTTCATGTTAGACTTTTTAGCGCATTTCCAAAAAAAAATGCGCTATTGTGGCCACTTTGTCCGTCCGTCCGTCCGGCCGGCTGTCCGTCCGTCCGCTCGTTTTGAGACGCTTCTAGTTCTTTATCTTAGGAGCTATTGTTCTACTTTTTTCGCTATTTGGTTCATTATGGTGTCGAGGCTTGCACCAAGGAAGGAATTTTTTCTGCGTTTATTGCTAAAAGAGTTATTGTAAAAAAACCAACAAACCGTTTTTTACATGTTCCGTAATTTTACACTTTTGCCATTTATTAACGACCCTAGAGATCATTTATAATTTCGTATTGTTGTCTGTCGTCTTTCTGTTGGTCTGTCCGTCTGTTCCTTTGCTTGTCTGTCCCTCTATCTGTCCGTGTGAACGATAACTTTGTTTAGAAATGTCCGATCGCTTTTACATCTCCGTTAGTTATGAACTGAATTGCATCAAATTCAATATGGGCATAGCCTTAGCCATATAATACCCAATGCCAAAAGTTGAGTCGAATCGATTCAAAATTCACAGTGCCCCTTTCGCATCTCGACCATTTATAAACCGAATTGCAAACTTTTTTTCTTATAAAAGTATTTGAATGAAATTTGATACAGAGGCACTTGGAATAAATGAAAATCTAACGCCAATTTCAAAATTTGGTTTTGGGCATGCGCAGTGCCAACTTTTTTATTTATGGAAGAATTCAAATGCAATTTGATACAAAGGCGCTTGGAATGAAAGAAAATCAAACGCCAGTTTCAAAATTTGGTTTTGCGCATGCGCTGTGCCAACTTTTTATTTATGGCAGAATTTAAATGAAATTTGATAAATTGATACATAGGCACTTGGAATAAAGGAAAATCTAACGGTAGCTTGAAAATTTGGTTTTGCGCATGCGCAGTTCCAACTTTCTTATTTAGAAAAGCATTGAAATGAAATTCTTCTTATAAACTGAAATTGAATTAGCACGTCAAAAATGGATTGGCCGTGTGCAGCGCTATCTATCATATTTGTGGCCGGATTTTTACGATTTTAACAGAAGTTGCATCTTACAAATGGGAAATGAATGCAAGTGGAAATGCGCTTTATGTAAATCGTTTACGATTACTTTTTAACTTGTTAAATATGCCTTGATCTGAATTATCAGAAACTGAATCTCAAACACAAAGAAACCACTTTTATAAAAAAATACGCGTTTTGACCGCAACGCTGTGATGACCAGTGAACATCTAAAAGAAGAATAAGAAGAATCTTATTCTATTTATACTAATTTTTGTTGCCTTCACTTAAATAATAGTAGCGATTATCCAGTCATATAACGAAATCCGTATTATCTATAATTTCTCAAAACAATGTTACGCTGGAACATTTTAGGGTGAGGAAATACCAGATCGCATTATTAAAGTTTCTACTTTTTATCACGGCTAGCTCAACTTTACTAATTTCCTTTGTCAAATGGACTTACTTGCTTCCAACCTGAAAATTTAGGAAATCCACCACTTTGATGGCAAATCAATATACAAAACAAACATTCCTCTTAAACGTTGCACGTAGTTACAAGATAATTGGATCGCAGAGGATGTTTCAATTTACGGTTTAACCTTAAAAGGACGCGGTATTTAATACAAATATAAAATACAATTTACCGTATTTAAACGGCGTCTAAAACTACCCCTTGGGTCGTCCAATTTTTAAAACTAGATTGCACTCTATTTAAGATTCGGAGAATGTTCCCAAGGTCATGACTTTGGAATTTCCCAAGTCGTAGCCTTGAACTTTTGTCTAGAGTTATGGTGTTTACCCGCGCGCACGCTGGTACATCCGGCATCCGCAAACTATCTGAAATTAGTACGCATTCGCATTCGAAACAAGTTAACTCTGTAAAATCAAATGGTGGGATCGGGTTTTCCTCAAGGTCGTGGCATTGGACTTTGGTCTCGGGGACGTTGACCTCGGGTTTTCCCAAAATCGTGACCATAGACTTTGACCTATGGTTTTTCCAAGGTCGAAAAACTGCATTTCTTAAATTACATTCTTTCTGTCTCTTAAATAATTATTTTTAGTGTCTAAGTTTTAGGACGATATGGGTTTACAGTTAGGTTTTTGTCCTCATCAAAATATTGTCTTGAAAATAGAGCTCCCCATCTTGGATCCTGGACCAGGGCCAAAGCTTTTTTAACAACATACAAAGTTAAACTCAAAAATACGATACTTGCAATAATACTTATTTATTATAATGGAATCCCATTTAAAAAGCATTTTCCCACTACCCGCAGCCACGGAATTTTTGGAATCGAATTTGCAGATTTGAGTACCATGATCGACATATCGAATTTTTTGTGATCATTTAATCATAATATCGACTTAAATCAATATTTTTTTCTTATTTGCAACATTTTCAATTAACTACATGCGAAATTAGATCACTCAGTAGTAGGTGGGGGACACTTTGTAACCCAAAGCCCAATCTTCAAATAAGTATAATTTTTGTTTGAAAAGATATTTTTAAAAACTGTTCGACTATTTCGTTGTTTGAAAGTATTTTACCCAACACTCTTTTACAAGTGTCGGATAAATCTTTCCCCCCAATCAGTTGTAGTGTCTTAATCTGAAATTTATACATTAGAATAGCATTCATTTAATACTGTTTTACTTACTGCCTCAGTCATATTCTCGGCCGAATTTAATTTTTTATTCAGTTCCTTTAATTCTTCAATTGTAGAAACTGTTCTCCATTTTTCATCACTTATAAAATTCGAGTGATTCCCTTCATTATTTTGCAGTTGGATATGTAAAATGTGCCTTATATCTTTTCTCATTTGCTCCTGTGTCTTTAAGATTCCTTGCAAAATATCTATAATTCATGTGATACAATTTTATTAATACACACAGGAACTTACCCATTACTGAGCTACTATTAAGCGATACTGTATGTATGGACGGGCTGCGCCGGATACCCGTCGGTCCATATGTCCTCGATGTGCTCGGTTCTAGATTAATGGTCATACTGGGGGCGACGGCAGAATTATGCATATATGACGATTGAACTGAAGGAGATGCTCTCAAGGTGTTTTGTTCGACATACTCAAAATGGTCTAATGGTCGTGGGGTTTGATGTGTTTCTATTCTTACAATGTTGGGTGGCGGTACAGTTGGTATTCCATCTGCATCGTCGTCTGAAAAATTCTGGATGTAGTCGTCCAATTGTGAGTTCGGCTTCGGGGTACGCCGACTTGAAACATCGCTGTCCGAAGATACACTTGAGGCATTTTCCAAAACCTCCATTTTGTCCTTGGCCTTTTGATAGTAACCTAAAACAATTAGGTAACACTATAGTAACCAAAACTGGCAATTGAATATTTACCTGTTCTATACTTCACCACTATGGGACACTTGGCACATTGGGGTACATTTGGCGCAGCATAATTAAAGATTGCCTTGTTAATTGCAGCATCTGTACGCAGATAGAACGGCCAGTAGCAATTTTTTTTATTTGGAGTAAGCCATGTTTCGGGAATTACTGACATTGGGGTGGTACCAGCTACAGTTTTTTCGTTGGGAAATTCCACAACAATGAATGATCTATAATATGCAATATGTACAGTACACACCAAGTGCAAAACTAAAAACTAAAATAATGTTTCAAATGTGAACATTTTTTTTCGACCCCTTGAATGTATTCTTTCACAATAAATAACTTAAACTTTATAGTTAAAATATAATAATTAATAATTTTGCATATATAAATGCAAAAGTGGGGAACAAACAAAAGTATTTTCTTCAAATGGTAAGATGACACTCTTACATGAGATATAATCAACAAGATATGTGCACATAAGAGGCTCTGCTTGCTCCTTAACTAAAAATAACTTCAAATATGTACTATCTGTTGGATAATCTATAAATGGTTTAATTATTGATAGTCTGGTCCCTACAACATAAATTTGATGGTCTCTTGAAACAAAATGATGAATTTTTAGTAGATCCCCAGAGTTTAAAAAAACACTGTTATTTCCTGCACTATTTGTAACAATGCATCTCTTCAAGTGCAACTTGGTATAAATTGTTTCACTTTCTTGAGTATCCTCATTGAATTTCGTTTGCCCATGGCCCATTAAGTAAACCATGTTTTCACTTGGCATGTCATCACTGTTTATGTCATTTTTCTGTTTTTCCATCATTCGATTTACAATTTGCTGCAATGGCGCATTTGTCTTCCTCAATTGTTTTTTTAAGGTGTAAAGATAATTTTCAAACGCAAAACAATTAATATCTTCTAAAGAACTCAAATGTTTGGCTTCATCAGCTAAATGAATCAATTGATGCACATTAAACACAGCAAAATCTTTACCATACAAATTTACAGCATCTTTCACAAATAACCGCAATAATGTATTAGCATACTGATTGTAGTTTCGATTTAAATATCCATTCAATAAAATTGTGGTACCACATTTTAAAAGTAAAAAGTTGCTGTAAATGTGAGGTGAAACTAAACCGGGTAATACAAGAACTCCAATATACAACAAAAACTGTCTTAGCTCGGTTGCCTTCCACCGTTCTAATTCTTCCAAGGAACGAGGTTTTCGATTAAATTCTATTGGCCAAAAACTTTTTAATTTATGTATGCGTTCATTCAATAATCTGCAGTTTCCTTTGCTAAGAAGTAAACGACCTCCATCACGCAACAGAAACAACAACTTTCTCATGACTCCAAGGCATACACAATGCATATAATCAATCATGAAATGAGAAACAAGCCCAATTCCTAATTTACTTAATGGAGTATCTCCTTTATGATACTCTCTACATAACTTTAAATCAAATGATTCGTCAGTCCGTAATTCTGCATTTTGTTCCAAATATGCCATTTTCCTGTTCATATACTGTCCACGCACACAACACTTAGAACATCCAAAATACGCGTTATGGCCTTTAGTGTTTTTGATATATGCTGATGCTGGAGCATCGCAGCAAAAGTAACGAACTTTAATCTTCAATATCCGATCTTTATATAATATCCCATTATTGATACACGCTTCCAAATCTTTGACAAATTCGTGTAAATAGTCTTCCAATGGAGGTTTAGATGGGCCGTAATAAATTGCTACAGGAAAAGGAGATTCTGTAGGATGATTCGCTATTTTACCTAAAATCGGCCAGAAAGAACTATTGGTACTTTTATAAATCGGAAGACCATCTATATTAAAATCTAATAAATAAACCGCTTCAAAGTCCTTGTATCTTTCAAAGATTTTTATAATGGAAGTGGATAAACCAAAGTAATAAAACTGGCCATCCCCCATTTGTTTGACACAACATTTTGCGGGCGTGCCCATAAGTGTTCGAGCATCTCTAGGTAGGTTCGATATATCAGGATTTGTCGAAAACCATGTCAATAACTCGGATAATGCAGTATGCGTAATATTATTTTTCGTTGACCAATTTCGTAAAAAGAACTCAGAGTTTATAGGTTGTATCTCGGATTCGTGTACTAATACATTTCCATCTTCACCTCCTAATTCTATTTCACTATCAATAGAATCGCTAGTCAAAGATTCATCCTCAAATTGTTGATCTAAGTTGGGAATACTGCCAACCGAGTTTAACGTACTGCAAAGAGATCTCGGAGCATATTCCCGGTCATCACTACACCCGCTATTTGAAAATGAAGTAGATGTACTCGGAGGATGTTCTAAAACTGACAATTCTATCGTGTCCACCACTTTTTTTCTGATATTGCGATACTCTTGTCGTTCACTGCGTTTCTTAAATACAGGTTGCCGTGACATTCTTATACAAACGAGCTATTATCACTATAAAAACAAATTCGGATTTACACTCGTACCTACATTACCTAACGACTTTACTGGTTTTACTTATGCCAAAGAAAATACCGGGAAAATGTTATAAGGTATACACAATTCAAGGAATCTGAGGTTATGTCATATGGGAATAAATAAATATTATGTTTTATACCTTATACTACTTATAACGAAAGAAAGTAAACGAATAAACGATCCTTACTGTTTGATTTCCATTTTTTCATTCATGAGTCAACTAAAATAATAAATAATGATAAGAAAACAATCACGTTACACAACACTGCGCAATGGCGTATGGCAATGGCGCTACAATCGCTAACGAATCACGTGATTCAACAAGGTCCGGCGCAATGTGACGGCAGAAACTTAACTGAAGGGGAAAGAAATACAACTGCGCGTAATACTTAAAAAGGGATAAAATTAAGTGCAGAAAGGTACAAAGCGTAAACTCCAGCGACAAGATGAAGAACTAGGTAAAAGAAACTTCTAACAATAGGATGGCCTTTGTCGGCCAAACAAACAACTATTGCAAAAGAAAGTGTAACGGTAAAAATAAAGAACTAAGTAAAATGACTCTAGCTGGGTAAGAACTAAACGTTACAACCTGCCGGTAATTATGAACTTGTTATTTTACCGTTTTTTTATAAGCATACAACATTTATTACAACTAAGCTGTAGAAGGTAATATTCAGCGTATGGCTAGAATTTCCATAAAGAATTACAGCCAATTTGTAAGATCACATTCTGTTAAAAACATTCCAGGGGGAAAATTTGATACTCCATACTGCGTAGGTGTTCGTTTAGTGCTCATCTCACAATGCCTGTATGCATAAAAAATACCTTATCACGACGCTTGAATTCTCGTCATTACAAAAGAGTCCTTTGTTCGAAATAAACATCTTTCACTAAAAGCAACTATTCAAAATTTTCCTTGACTCATTAACTTTATTTCTTCTTTTGATCTGTGTACGCCTTACGAGCATACTGCATGTATAATGATATAACAAAGACCTAGGGAATATTGCTTGGCGGAGCATTAATGGAGCACAGGTATATAACGATAATGATAGAGGCGGCCTTTGACGTTATATCACTGCGGCGCTTCATTAACGGCTGCTAATTACAGCTCAAGTCACACACTGCGTTTGATTCTATTCACACTCGAAATTACCAGTTATTAACAAGCCATCGGCGTAGCCAATCGCCGTTAATTCTTTATAACAAGTTGTAGGAAATCCCTTTCGCTCTTTTTCACCTTGTCCTGTTTGATTTCAATGTTCGGTGTAAATTACAGTATTCTAATTTTAGGCGAATCGTGATAAAAAGACGCGAAGTTCCATTAGCAGAATTCGCCTCCGAAGTGGATCATTAATGGGCACTTATAAAAAGAAGTGACTGTTATTAGTGTTATATTTCAATTTGTGCACATTATAATATATACAATGCGTAATAATCACGGAAAATGCTGGTAATTTTATGAAGAATAGACTCGATCAATGTGACAAGTTAAACTGTGGTAAATTAATTATTTTGGTGACGCCTTTTGTCGAGATATGCTACAATATTACATTTATTATTATTAAATTAATTATGTATGTACGTCAAATTGAATTACCCTATATCCGTTCACTACACAGTTTTGTGTACAAGTATAGGAAACATAAGTGGTTCTTCGGCGGTGACTCTTCATTTGTGCTGTCGAACAAAGGAACAAGGTTCTCTTACTAAAAGATTGTCATAAAAGGTAGGAGCAACACACTGGATTTACCAATCTTACCAGTTATGTCAAATACTTACTTTCTCAGCCACAATGATGAAAAGCATAACATTTAAAAGAATCTCAGAAGTAGGTTCATTAGACACAGTGTAGAGAATATTCCAGAAATCATGATAGACATCGAGGCGCCATAAAATATGAGTCATGGGCGATAAAGAACGAAGGCGGATGTGACGCAGTTTTTCCCAGAAGTATGGCGTATTTCTTCTAGAACATTCTAGAAAGAATATTGTTTTTTATATAAAAAAAAAACCGAATTGTGTGTCGAGTCAGTTCCAATTTCGATGTTCTTGTGTTATGTTATAAATAGTAAGTGATAAATAATAATTACTGTTATAAATTATTCCATTTTTAGACTTATAAATGTATTGTTAGGTAATTTGTAGATACGTAATTATATTTACGTTACAATAGCATGCCAATAAATAATAATGAGCAGGGCTTGTGGGCGAATTTCGTCACTAGCATCTGAACTTCGCCCTTTTAGTTGCGTACACAGTATATGTATAGTAAACAATGTTTTATTGTAAAAATAACTGTACGTGATTAATAAATGGCATTATTATTATTATTATGGTCGGTGTTTCTTGTGAGAACTCAGGTCTAGCCTGGTTAACTAATCGCACGGATTAAAATCAAGTATTATTATTATTATTATTATTATTATTATAAAGATTAAAGGAAATCGTCAGCGTTAAAAGTACTCTAAGTAGAAAATCATGTGTGTACATTGTGTACATGACCAATATCGAATTATTATTTGAATGTATTTTAAGACCGGTCCAGATGTATACATACACAGTTTCGGTTTCAATACACCACCCTGTATAAATGTTTACATTTTCTCTCTTCGCTATTTTAAAAATTTACGCATTATACTCAATATACTGAAATAAAATTACGAATGGATGTACGATACATTAAATTGTCAGTTCTCCGCTCACAAAATTATTAATTGTCCAACTATTTGCTATCTCCGTAGTTATTTTTACGACCGGCACGTGTTCATAATAGGCATACGCGTAGATATGAATTTGACCCCTGCGTTAACGAGGGCTTGGGGCGTATGTAAATCTGCCATTGTTATTGCAGCACTACTTTTGCAACTGCCATAAAGGAAAAATTACTGTACACCCATTTCGAATGGAAGTTTGATTTATAGTTTCTCCTTCCCTAATATAAAACCGGACACGCTTGCCATAAAGTTGGTAATACTTATATAATGTATGTATCAGTAGGAAGGAAACATTAATAGTAAGTAACATTAGGTACATATGTTAATGTAATACAACAGGAGAAATTAAATCACATATTATTAATTATTACCGTTTACACCACGCCCTTTTCTACAAGAAAATGTGCCAAATGCTTGACAGAAAAGCTTCCTAGCCCACACCAAAAAGCGGTTTTGATCGTTTAACGTCTTCGCAGGCTTTTTTTTTTACTTTTGTATCCTCACTAAGTTAATACCCTTCTTTTTTGTCGGCGGCCTGGTGCAGATGTTATATAGATGGGTCAGGTTCTACTTTTCTTTACAGTTAATATTAACTCAGAGTTTAGTGTTTAAATCTGTGATATTAATTAATCAATAACAACAAAAAAGAGAGCCTTTCGAATAATTTCTGCTCCCTACTGCAACGACTCGTGGCCCAGAGGGCCGTTTCATCAGCGAACAGGTTGACGACCACGTTGCCGGAACCTGGGGTAGGAGTATCTAGAGCATATATATTAGGTATAGGATTTGGGTAAGTGTTGAACACTGGGGTACAACGGTGGAGGGTGAAAATGAGAGCGGAGAGGCTTTTCCCGATCCTGACTCTCACCGATCTCTAGGAGAGGAAGGAAAGGATCGGCCGTGTAAGTGAATCGAAAATTCCTAGGTCGCGAATTTTGCGGATAAGTCCGGCGTGCCAGATACGGTCGAATGTCTGTTTTCTATCCAGGAACGAGGCGAGGGTGCATTTTCCTAGGTTAAAGGATTTGACGGCGTCGGTGTGGAGTGACAACGAGTCATGTGTGGAGCGGCCCCGTAATGGGTGCATGGGAGAAGGTTTTGGGATTCAAGGTATTCTGTGAAGCGGTTTCGGGATCATAACAGGTTTTCCAGCCCCAGGAGAAAGTAGGATGTTTGAAGGAATTTATTATATAGTTGGGATATGAGGGTTAGACCATCGGGGAGTAGGTGGCCAAGAATCAGCTTGTTGAGTCAATCAGGACCAGGGGCACTGTTCTTGTCCTTTTTAAGAGTACTCTGTATGAGAGTGGGTAGTATAGACGATAGTAGGGGATTGTAGTTAGGAAGAGAGGTGCATTTTGAAAGATTTTGAAGTCAAACTCGAGAGTTTTCTTGAAAATCTGGTCGAAATGGTGGTTTTCAGGAGTTGTAAAGGTGTTTTGGAGGAAGGAACCGAAAAGATTTGCCTTCTCCTGGTCGGAGGTGATTATGCGATGTTGGGAATCAACTAGGTGGGAGTTCGTCCGGAAAGGATGAATCGGTTCTAGTTGTTTATCGAGTTGAGATGTGGCCCATTCTTCCTTATCAACCCGGGTTGTTTCTCGTCGAATTAGAGTGTTGAGGCTAGTCTTGTTGGGGGTGGTGATATTAGCGGCCTCGGAGATAACTGAAGGCGTCTACGCTGCCGCCTCGTCGATCTCAGATGGGAGGTTTAAGTCGAGGGTTGGTAGGTGGGTGGAGACGTGTTCGGCGAACACGATCCAATTGGTGTTTTTTGAAATCTTTTCGTAAGATGTGATCAGGTGGCGAAGATGGTGGATCGGTAAACGAAGTTTTAATGAGTAAGGGTAGATAGTCTGAGGTAATGGAGGTGCCTAGGTAGCAGTCCGGTTCGAAGAACCAAAAAAGGTGGGATTGACATTACTCTCCAAAGCAGTGGACTTGTTAGTAGATTAGATAAGATAGAGCCATTGGCATGGGTGGTGGTAGTAAGAAGGTGGTTGCGGCGAAATGTTGGTGGACTAGGTTTCCAGTTCCTCGGACTGAGCCGAGAGGGCTGTTTCGAATGGTAGCGGTAAATGAAAAGGGATAAGGAGACACGAGAAGAAAGTTTGGTTTCTGTTACTGTAAGGATATGGATATGTTGTCGCAAGGGAGCAGGTTCTTAATCAGGTTGCGTTTGCTGTAAACACTGTGGGCATTAATTGTTCCTACGACGAGCTCCATTGTATGTAGGGTGAGGGAGTTAGGAAGAGAAAGGGGAAGAGTTCTATTAATTAAATGTGGCCGGAGGTAGTCATGGCCATGTGAGGCCCGAAGATGGTGGCCAGTGTCGATCTTCGCAGATAGACCAGGGAAGCACTATCTTCGATTTCGATGCTCGCACCACGCCTCTCGGGAAAAAAATTTGCCAAGGAAGTGTTCGATGTCGGGGAGTCGCAACCTGAGAAATCGGTGTCGGTAGAGCATGGAGGAGGGAGCTGAAGGTGGGCCATCTCGGAGGTGACAACAGGAACTCGGCGTAGTTTAGATTCGAAGGAGTAAGCTGGATGAGGACCGGCACAATTGTTGCATTTGAGGACTGCTTGGGATTTGCA